TATATAAACATTATATGTAGATATGTATATAAACATTATATGTAGATATATAACCATCATATAAAAGTAAGAAAATAATTTTTCATTATAGCGCTTCATCTTTTTTCATTTTGTATTAAACAGAGCAACGTTTTCCTTTGTTTCAGGATGGTAGTTAGATCAATACCATCTGGAACTGGGTGGGAGAAGCTCTGATGCTTCCAGTCCTCTAAGCAGAATAAATCACATCTGTTCTGTTGTTTTTACTTTGGTATGCTTTGGTTCCATGGTCCCCGTCTTCCACAAACACTCTGATGCCCTAGGATCCCATTTAGTGAGTGGTGGCAAGTTGTGATAAACATACAGGTATGAATGCTGTGGTTCAACTGAGATTCTGTTTTTGATTATGGATTTCAGCATGGTGCTTATAATAAATTTAACAGTAGCATTATGAGACTTAGAAGACATAGTATGAATGTTGTCATATTTCTATATTCACTGGATAAGACAAGTAAATAGACCAAATGGGATGTTATCTGTGGAGTCCTTGGTGCTCTCTGAGCCTGGTTGTTTGCTTGTAGACATTTCATTACCCAACTAGGTAACATCATCAACCTACAACCAAGCTCAGGGAGCACCAAGAACTCTACAGTTCAACCTTGAGCTACATATAGTTTCTTCTATTGGATAATGTTATCTTGCAAACATTACTGACATTGTGAAGTTGAAGTATCTCCTCATATCTTAGTGACAGTTCTGCTAGAGTAATGTCTGTTCTGAATACCTTGTGAAGGGCTTCCAGGTTTACTGAAGGCTGGAAAGAAGCAAAAGGCATCATAATCAGCCACAGGTCAATATCACTGTCAAAGCTCTGATTCAAGAACTCAGCAAGAGAGTCAATTACTTCATAATAGACAGTGTCAACACCTGTGAGATAGATAGTGGTAGTGTTTCTTGAATCTTTTGTATGCCTGGTTTTGCTGAATGATTGGTTTTGCACATCAGTTTTTGATCTTGTTTTTATTTGCTACAAATAAAATTGTAATGTATACAAATGTATGTATATTTATGCACCCAGCACAGATCTTGAGCTTCTTTTGTCCTGGCCAGCAAAAAATTTCCAAAGACCAGCTGACAGACTTCTCACCAGGCACAAAAGTAAATCCTGACACTCCAGAGATACCTCAGACTTTCAAACCCATATTCAGGAACTTGCTTAAAGCAGAATTTTGCAGGTATGATGTGGCTAGATAAGTTGCTTTATTATTGACAGGAAAGATGCTCACAAGATCTCCCTTTTTCAGATAGAGAAATAAAGCTTTCTTTATATGTGTGATCCAGAGTTTAAATTCTAGGCCTTCTCCTCCCACATCTTCAAGTCAACAGACTTTTGGCCATAGTTTTTCTGCTTTGGCAGTTGAAGATATCTACTGAATGTTCACACAATGTTTCTGTCTGGCCTGAGAATCATGGGTTCCTACTTTGCCAGCTCTAGCCAGTATACCCAATGGCTTAGAGAAAGCTGCAGTTATAATAGGAATACACTGTATGGTCACACAGAGTAATATTTGAGTAAAAGAGCTTGTAGACAAAGATTTTAGGACACAACACTTGATAAGCTACTTTTATTATAGGTACCAGTAAAGCTGTAGTTAGAGCAAAACACCAGCAACTGCAGATAGCAGACCCAAGTTCAAATCAAATACCATTTTCCCACCTGTGTGTCAAATGGATTGAGAAATAATCGCTTCTCTGTGGGAGAAAAGGTTGTCCTCTGGTCATTATTATTGTAATGGATCTCTCTGATGTTAGGCCACCTGTTTTCCCCTTGTCTGTTTTAGACCTCATGATATCTGGGCTGCAAATTTTATGCCTAGATTTGGTAGTCCTGTGTTTCAGTTATTCACAACAGTAGGACAGGCCTGAATTTACTTCTTTCTTCTTGGCCCTTTAGATCTTCCAGCAGGGAATTGAAGACATCAGACAATCCAATTCCAACTCTTGGTCTTGGTTTCTTATCTTCCTCCTATTCTGCTCCCAACTACAATAATGGGTACAGTGCAAAAATACAGTACAAACTTCTATTGTGCCATAGTACAATTCCCATACTCCTTTACAGCCTTGCAATTCCTATCCTTAATAAGAATGGTCCCTCCTTCACCATTCTTAAGAAATGTAGAATTTTTGAAAATGTTAAAGTCACATAATTGGATTTCTGGACAAGATATTCAGCACAAGCTCTTGAGAAGGCAACTTGTTTTAAAAAAAAGTCTAAGTCTAAATAGGATCCCCACTAGTGGTCACTTAAAGCATCTTTTAGCATCACCCGGCCATCACCGAGATGACATAAAGGCATCCTATTAATCCTGTTATTGGCATAACAGTGGTCAGATGATTCTAGAAGACACTATAAATTACTAGTGGAAATCCATCTGACTTAACTTCAAAGCGGTGTTAAGTTTTATAGACTGGATTTGTCCAAGGAATTCAGGACACAGTGAAGATTCAACAATGCATTTGATGTGAATATAGTGATGGATTTCTAGAGACCGTTGCCAATTAAACAAGTGTTACTTGTTTCATTCCTATCAATATTCATTGCAGTATCACCGGCTCCTCCGAGAGTGCCTGTTCGATTGTATGCATTCCCCTGCCTCTAACAGTTTCTCCTCTTATTTATGATACAATATGTGGCTTCTGAAAGTTTCTTCCCCATTTCTTGATAGGCTTATTTTAAAATGTCTTAGCATGTAAAGATGAAAATTAAATCTCTCTATGTTCTAGTCAGATCTGATCCATTTGTTGTACTTTAAGATTCATTAAAGGCAAAGCAGCAACTGAGTCTATTTTGTTATGAACCTCTTTTCTGTGATATTTTAGAACCTATTATCCCTACCTAACCTTCAGCATCTCTTGCCCAACAACCATCATATTATAAAACATAAATAAATTCTACAGAGTATGGTCACTCCATCAGTTCAATAGGTAGAGGAGAAGGGATCTCAGTCCTCAAATATAATTTAGGGATGGGTGATAATTTTAACCATTCTGTGCAAGGACTTTTCTTTCTCTCATTCTAACTTCTCTTTGAAATGCTTTTTTTTTTTCTTTTTTTCAGATAGAAAACATTTGAAATTTGCTCAGGGCTGGGGCTGGGCAGACAACATCCCCTTCTTGTGCAGCTGGATTTTAAAAAACTTTGGAATAAATGCTGACAGAGCTCCCTCTGCATGAAAGCTGGCTGTTAGGCTTCTAATTTCAGGCCTGTTGAATGGATCACATCTGGCCTGTCTGTAAAGCATTGTACTGTGGAACAAAATTCAATACTAGCTTTTAATGCCCATTTTAAGAGAAAGCTATGTTTGTGCCTAAAAAACTCATTCTGGGCAGCATTCCTACCCCACGTTGATCTGTGTTCTTTTAATTAAAAAAAGGGAATAGAATGGAAGCTAGCATGCTGTAAAGCAAAAGGACCAGGCCCTCCAGCATCACTTTTTTCTTCTTCTTATATGTACCTGTACCTGTCTGTATAAACAAACTTAGAATTGCGGGAGGGCGCTAGAGGGGGCCCCAGAGAACAATGGCTCAGTTTCTAACCTGGTAGATGGACATTTTGTGATTGGCAATGACGACAAATAGTAGCTGTTTAGCGGAAGTGCTCGTTGTCCCAGCCCAAATCTGGGTTTGGTCCCAGTGTGCTGAACACCCAACCTTTTGCACTGCTTTTCTAACTTTTGCTCTTACATTTCTAATTTCTATCATTGTATTATTTCTATTATTTTTTGTTCATTATGGCCACATCCTCTGAACTTCCAAATGTGCCTGCTGATTGCTTTTCCCCACTCCTTGTGGCTTGGCTTGGGACCCCTGTCCTCCTTCAAATACCTCTTCCTCATCAGAGATTCTGCCCCCGTTTCCTCCATTTCAGAAACTAGGCATGTTGA